TTGGCTCAGTTGCTTCTCTGGTCACTCCTGACAGACTGCAGGCTCTGAGCCTACCCAGCCAGTGGTGCTGGGGTTAAGCCCTTTTCTTTTGAGCGAATTACTGTTACTGTCTTCCAATAAGTAGCTGTTTGAAACCAGCTCTGTGTTTGGATAGGAAAGTTTATTTTCAGTAATGTAGAGCAGCTACAATTGCTCCTGAGATATCTCCATCCTCTCAGCCGTTTCTTCCTCAGAGATGGAAAACATTTTCCTACAACTAACCATTTCAGGTACCAGGGAATGAACAAGCACAAACCCTGCATTATTGCCTTGCTTCTGTGTGGTAAGATAATTACAGGGGCTCTTGCACCTGGAAGCAGCTGGGCGCTTGGGAGTGTGTTTTGCCACATCAGTGTGGTGTGAGTGAAAGAATCCCCTCACCGTGTGATCCTGAAAGAGAAAACGCAAGATTCTTGATAGCTATGTTTTTGTACATGGCATACCTCCTTGTTGGTTGGAGCTGCCCACATTAAGCTGGTGTTACGTGCAAATTCAAATATCTTGGCTCAGACGAGGACACCAGAAAGTGTGTTTAATTGTCCATAACTAACATGGTAAAAGACAGAGGAAAAGTTTTAATATCGCTTGTTTTGTCTAAAGCTGGGTTGGAACTGTTCAGTCATTTCCTGCAGTGCTGAGAGGCCTGTCAGTGAGTTGGCTGGTTTGCCACATATTCATAAGCCCACAGAAGAGTAAATGTTGCCAAGGGAGCTAGTGTGTATGAAAGTTTATTATGCAGTTTTCCCTCCTTCATGCTTTCTGTCCTTAGTTCTGCTTAAGCTGTCACTGAGGCTGAATCCACTACTGACTGTATAATACAGTAATTGTCAATCTCTGCATTCATAATTTTCAGGAGGCGATGCAAAGGAATCTCCTCTTCTAGGATCAGTCTCTTCAGTTGCCTCAGGTCCACAAGAGTTTGTCAGATGGATAGGTCCTTTCCAAACATCAGGAGGATAGCGATTTACACTAGTATAGGTCTGTTTGGCCCACTCTGTGCCCAGAGCAGGCAGACATGGTTGACAGACTGCGGAGTTCACGCACAGCTCAACCACAGACTTCCCAAATGGATTTTCTAAGTCTTGCTTTTGCTTTTCCTTCTTTGACATTGTTTAATTTTTGCTATATTTGGGGTCCTGCGTTCCCTGTGGGTAGCATAAGGCTTTTGTCTGGCTTAAAGAGGAAAGGGAAGAGAGAATGAACTGCTTGTGATTCTTAAGACACTGCCATTAAACCAACTATTGCTGCTCTCAAAAACAGACGGGTGTTGGGGAAAACTCTTCTATATTTACTTAATCAAAGAAAGAACTAAGTTTCTTAGCACAGAATGTATTCTGAAATTGTTCTTTTACAAAATATTCCTTATTTTTTCAGCTGTACCTTTGACTGTGCAAAGTAGAGCAGTGATAGACAAGTATTGCAGGTATGTTTCTAAAGAAAATGTTGGTGTATGTTTATGGTGAAACTTGGTATGTTCCCTGCAGCCAGATAATTAGTCTTCAAGGCTGGAGTGTGCAGCTGAATGTGGAGAGGAGTGACAGAACTTTTGGAGGAACTTGTTTGATATGCAGTGTGTAAGCTGGTGTGTGTACAGTAGAGGCTGCTAGTGCTTGCTGCAACATTGGCAAATCTGTTTGTGGACAGACTGTCATCAGGCCCTGGAGGTTTTTCTTGCACAGTTTCACCACTTCTTATGTGATCCATAAACTAAGGATGCTAATGGATGAGTGCTGATAAATCTTTGTGGGAGCTGAAGATGCTACTGCCACATTCTTTCTTATTTTTGGTATTTTCAGTCTTAGGCAGTAGAATTTTGAACATTTAGTACATTATGCGTAAGTATTGGCAATGAAGAGGCTGGGGCACTTTTCTGGTGGTGAGCTGACAAGCTTTAGCAGAGGGCTTAAGTAAGCATCTTCGAGCGATGGGGTCTTAAATTATTGTAGTGAGACCTGCAAGAGTTTGTCCAGTAGTACCTTAAGCTGATGAAGTCTCTTTTTTTTTTTCTTTTTTTTTTGAGAGCTTAGCTAAATTTAGTTGCAAGTCATGCCAGAGAATGCACACCTTTTCTGTATAAGAGGTGGTCTGACGTATTGGCTGGAAACCAGTGGATTGCACTTGTTTTGTTAACTTATTTTTGTTTAAGGATATTGCAGCATGCAGAGTTACGTGGTTTCAGGTATCTTGTGATACCCCATTGAGTTAAACAATTTTGTTTTGGATTTTGTTGCTGGGAAATAACTGGATATGATGCCTACTTCAGTTGACTAACCACATAGGGGACTAGCTGGTGGTACTAAGCTGCTGCTTGTTCACAGTTCAAGAGCAGTTCTGTGTAAGGTACAAAGGTTCAAAGCAGTTAAAGCCAGGAATTGCATGCGTAGAGAAGTGCAGTTTGTAAATTCTGGATGTTAACGGTATACGTTTAATAAAAAAGACAAAGATATAAATTGCATCTGGTGATATTTGCATTAGAGTAATGTGAATCTGCTGCACATAATCCAGTACTTAATTTTTAATAAATATTGGTTGTATCCACGTGGAATATTACAGCTCTACAAGATTCATGTAACAAACACACTGGATGCAGCAGATTCATTTCTTGAAATGGCCTGGAGTGTTCCCCCTCAGGTGGTTCATGAATTTATCCTGAATGATGCTCTCTTCTTAACCAACTACCTGCTTAGACAGGAGCAGGGAACGAACTGGGCACTTCAAAAGTCCATGCCACAAGGCAGTGAGAAGAGACAGTAAGTGAAGTAAGATGTCCCCTATGTACCTTTTGCTGGAAAGCAAAGGTCTTGGACATACTATCTTGATGACCTCTGGAAATCCCATGTTTTTCATGGTAGACTTGAAGAGAGTGGGGAGAGGAAGCAATACGTGGTGAAGTTGGAAGGGGCATTAGCCAGGATGCAAATGCCAATGTTATGGCAGAAACCGTAGAAACAGTATTTCCAGGTTAGGAACGATAAAAGAGGGACAGCATAATCTCCAGTTGCCAAGTATATAAGTGAACCTTTTCCACAAAGCTTGTTGAGATTGAAATACAGTCTAAAGACAGCAGGGAATTCTCTACTACCTTCAGGTGTATGCAAGCACCTATTTAAAACTCTCTTGCTAAGAGGGAACAAAGTATCGGTTACCAGGTTGTAATCTGCTGTTGTTTCTGACATCATCAGCTCCAAACTTTGTGTCACTATGATTTCAAACATCAACTCCTTGTTTCCCTTCTCCTTTAAAAAGTGAATTCCTTTAGTGTTCAGATCTTTTGGTGCTATAATATTAATAGGTCTGCACCCCAGTGTTGGTCTTCCTATCCCTTCCTCCCTCCTATTGCAGTCTTCCCAACTTTGTGTTTGTGAGATAGCTGTTCATCAGACCAATATTACTGAGTCGCTGAGCTAATAAGCCTACCGTAGTAGAGAAGGGGTGGCTGGGTTAAGAACCCAGATGGTTCATGGTGAGTTGAAGCTAACAAGCCTTTGATGTAGCTAAACTGATGCTCTGCATTTGGGTTGGGTGTCTTTGCACTGAGCCTCCTAGTGTGTCTGTCATACTTATCTGGTCTCTTCTCTGTTATCAGTAGCACCCTGTTAGCTAGGATGACATGGAAGTTGTCTGCTCAGAGCTTCTCCTGTTACACTCTTCCTGCTAGGAAGCTGCTGACAGTGGAAATGGTGACTCCCAAGCATGTAGGGAGCTCTCAGCTCTTATAAAATCATAAATAGGAAGACATTGTTCCCCAACTTAAACATATTTTTCCTACATCTGTTCTGCGGTCATGTACTACCATTACATAAGTACACAAAGCTTCAGCAAATTACTTTTTGTTGTTAGTGACTATAACTCCTTGGCAACCCTAACATATGCAGCACAAGTCTGTGTCAGAAAGACAAAATATTAAGACACGAATTCTGATATAAGAAATCAAACGTTTGCCATTGTGTTGGTGTGAAGCAAACTACCCATTGGCTGGAAACAAGTTCTTTTAAAACATTTTACAGATGTCTTAGAATTGAGTGAAAAAAAATCAATAAAAAAAGATGGAAAAAATTGTGCAAAGCTAGCATGCTTATTCTTTTGGTGGTGGTGGGTTTTTTTGCTATGGTACAAAAGATGTTAAGTTGCCTGAAACATTCATGTACCCACTGATGCATCAGTAACTTTCTGTGAAACCATTCTGATAGAATCGCCTTTGGCTCTGTATAGCTGGAGAGAGGTATATAGAGCTGTATAGCTCTATAAACCTGGAGAGGTTTGAAAAAATGTCTGCGTGCTTGATCACTGAAGTTTATTGCTGGCAGAGAGAAACAGGAGGGGGGAAAAATGCAATTCGGTGTTCTACCTACGTATTCAAGTATTGGAGTATTAAAGTATTTTTTGTTAACCTATTTCCACATTAGTAATGGAAAAGAGAGTTTCCTGAAAGATCTGGGGAAACATTATTTCAGTTATTACCTTATTTTCACGATCTTCAAATATATTGAGTAAGACTCTGCACTTTCATTTTGATGTTTCGTCAAGGTTTGTCTTTAGGAATGCATAATAGAATTTTCAACTGCGTTACAGTTTAGCAAGCATATTTTTGTAAATTGCTTGTGGCTGTTTCAATGGTGAGTTAACTAGCCTCTGTTTTCTCGAGGGATATTTCTAACTTGCAAGCTGGAGTACTTCCACTTTCAGCTATTTTTCTTTGGCCTGGCTTTAATTTATACAAATGCTAATTATAGGGGCTTTGAATCTGTGTGTATACATAGTTTCACAAGGTCATACACGTTTTTAATGAACTGGCTGAAATGCTGCTTATATATTGCTAGGTTGTTACAGACAGATCTCTCTGTCTTCTAAATGTTGTTTCATTAATCAGTTCAAAAAGAGAAAAAAAATTAATAGTAATACCCGTGTAAAGCTGATTTTTAGTTTCATCTCCTGAACTTATATCTTTGTTGTCTTTGCAGGCATCAGAAGGTGTCACCTTCATTGGACCTGACACACATGCTATTCAAGCTATGGGAGACAAGATTGAAAGCAAATTGTTAGCCAAGAATGCAAAGGTCAACACGATCCCTGGCTTTGATGGAGTAGTCAAGGTGAGAAATCATTTAATTACTGTCTGCCCACTGTAGGAACAGTGTCTAAATCGAAGTACACCTATTGAAGGTCTGGTGCAGAATGTAATTATAATTTTGGTTTCTTTTTCACTAAGATGTAATTAAAAATGAGGTACAGATTTTTACTAGCAAGAGAGCTTTGGAGAAGAAGAGAGAGTCCTTTGTAATAAATGATGTATTGAGGGCTGCTTCTGTGGAGTCTCTAAAAGTGTTTTGCTTTAAATTTAACATGCAGGCAGGTGTATGTGTTAAGTATCAGGTGTGGATTCGACTATCTGCATGTCTTTACATTTCTCAGGTCTTTACTTCTTGTTGGCTAAGATCTTGACAGCCCTGAGTTAACCGTGAAGTTTGTTACACTGTATGAAGCTTCCGTTTGTGGTCTGTGCTGATGGTGTAGGTTTCCATGTGTTGCAAAACTCGGGGTGAGGGTGGGGGGAAGTTGGTAGCTCTTTGTCAAATCTACAGCTAGTGTTCTTCCTGGGGTTTTAGAAGGAATGATTTCGAACAGTTTACTACAAATATTTTGGTTGGCTGTTTATATTTTGCAAGGTGAAATAAAGTATGTCTTGGTTTTTGGCTTATTTTCTGCTACAGTGATTTAAGTATTGGGTTCTTACAAGCTTTCCTGTATGTCTTTATATATTGTCTATGCTAATGTACGTAAACAAGCTTTTCTTCCTTTAAAACCTTTGTTATATATGCCCAAAACTTTGGTGTGTTGTAAAATCTTGACCTTCTGTGTTGAAATTTCTTATGCTTGATATGTCAAGTTAGATTACCCCCTCTCCCCCAAATAAAATTTGAGTAAAACTTTGAGTTGCAGGAAAAAGTGAAAAGCTTGTTTCAACAACACTTTAATGTAGTTGAAGGGAAAGCTTTTTGGGTTTTATTTGACAATTGATACTGATCATCGCAAATCTTGTTTTCGTGTTGAAATAGGAAATGTCAAGATAATTGGGAAGAACTGAATATATTGATGAAATGCAGAGTGCATTTTAAGGAGCAACATATACCAGAGCAATGGTGTTCAGCATTGTATCAGCTAAGTTGGATTTTAAACTGTTAGGAGGAAAACCAAACCGAACTAAATGAGAAAGGTGAATAGAGTGCAAAGGGGCTAAGCCTCCGCGTAACTATCAGTTCTGATGAGGATACCTGGAGAATGGCCAGTGAGAGAGAATGATAAAATCGTGAAATAGCTGAAGTCAAAATGCACAAGAGTAGTCCTGATAGCAATGCCTGGTGGGTGTAATGCCTGGCAGTGGGATATGCTGCAACAGGTAACAGTGTAAAGAAGTGTTTCTCTTCTGGAGGGCTCTATTTGAGTGCTAGGCTGGCATTTGTGGCAGTGCTGAAATCTGGCAGTGATAAGTTGAATGCAGCATTCCTTCAGGGTTTTGTTGCGTGTTTTAGCAGTCCCTGTGTATGTGGTCCTTTAGCGCTCATCAGATTTAAGAGTAGCCAAGCTATTGTGCATAACGTCCTCTGTTCTGTCTGATATCCTGTATATTCTTCTAGAAATCCTGAAAATAACTTATAGGAAAATGTCAAATTAGGAGGTAACTTTGAATTAATCATCTAAACCCCACAAAACTTTTTCTAATGCAGAGTGAAACACTCAAAATGCTGGTTTTATCGCTGTATCATGTTAAAAATTATGTAAGGGTCTGCTATTCTGCTAATATAAAGAAACAAATCTGGCAAATTAGTATCGCGGTTAATGAACAGATAGCCATATAACCAGTGAAAATGAGCTACTTAACTGTATGTGCTTGTTTCTGAGACCTTTAATTGCACTGTTTTTTGACAATTATCTGAAGTTCCTGACACAAAATAAAAGAACATAAGCGATTTGGTTGGCAATCAGCTATATGCAATGATAGTCTTAACACCAAATGAACTAGAACGTAGGGTTGAGTTGACAACTCCAGTCCTCAGCCATTGAAAGGAACTATGCAGTAGTTGCTTAATCCTGAAATGTCCATATTGTATCAATACCTTGGCCTTGCACTAGTTCTGATTATATGAAGAGTGTTGTTGAAAAAGAACATGACATTAAAAAAACCCCAACTCTGCAGTGTGCCCACCAAATAAGACAAAGGATTCCACAGACATTGCCAGTGTTGTAGTTCCCATCAGAAAGCAGAGATGAAAATTTTAGGTTAACCAGTGCTTTGGTTACCTGTTCTAAGAACTAAAACTTCTGATAATTCATATTCTCATCCTTGCTATGGATCAAAGTATATGCTTGTGTTTGTCCTCTGATCTCCATCCTGTGATAATGTCTTTTGCTTGGATGAAAACCCAAGTAATTAGGTCATACAGGATGTCTGATCTTTGGGTAAAGCTTGATGTACTATTTTGCCAGTTCAGACTAAGATAGGAAGAGCAAAGCTGTGTGGTACTAGGTACAGTCAGAAGAGCAACGCACAAGGAATTGGAGACCTTGTAGGATTTCTGCCATTCTGTGGGAGACCTGTTTTTGTCAGCGTTATGAAGCTTGTAAAATCTTTGAGGGCTCTTTTTCTTGAAAAATAAAATTTTAAAGATCCTAGGAAGGATTCAAGTGTCTGTCTGATACTTGAGTTGGTTAGAGGTGGCTTCATCTTTATAGTGGAATCTAATAAAGCTGGAAGAAGACTGCATTCACGCCTCTGACAATGCCAGAAGTTAAGAAAGATCAGTTACGTGTATTCTTTGTGGATGAATAGTTAAAGCGAACATAGACTAACAACTTCTAGTGCTTCATTATTCAACTCAGGACTGCACTGAAAATCTTTGTTACTTGAAGAGTTGTCTTTATCCAGCACTTGTTAAATAGTGCTGCAGATACATAGGTCCTTCATGAATAAAGGGTGGTTCCCCCCTCTTATTTATGTTGCTTAGCGCTTACACATAGTAGACACTGGAGTTGCAAAGCTTTTGTAATATCCTGGAGAAGTTGCATGCAGAAAAATTCCCAGTGAGTAGAATTAAATTAGAAATTTAAGATAAAGAAGCCCTTCAACCAGCATACTTAAGGACATGGAATAATTGAAGAGGAGGATGCTTGGCATAACAGGCACAACTAATGATTCTCATATAGGCAAACACTGTAGCTAATATGAAACTGAGAATTGAAAGATGTGAACTGAGAGTGAAGGGGGCAGTTTGACAAAGAGTAATTTTCTTCTCAACCCTGGTTCAGTTTCTCAGTTGGCTGGGGCAAGGGTTATCCAGTCTACTCATGTAAGGAACCTGCGTCTGGTGCTGTCAGCTAGAGAGGCAACAAAAGCATTCAAATGTAGCTAATTTCAAAATCTGTAACTACAATTAATTTCCTGAAACCTGATTGAGAGAGATAGTGGTAAATAGTTTTAATCAAAAGAACCAGCGTTAATCCATGTGAGCAGCAGCTGTACTAAAGTTAGAGCTGAGAAGATGTATTGTCTGTAAATGAGTAAAGAGGAATAAGTGACAAGAAGAAAGTGGAGGCTGAGTAATGACTATAAGGAGATGCCGTAGTGAAAAACTGGCAAAGGAATGGCAAGGAAAGAAAGACTTTTATATGATTTCACCATGTACAGCCGGTTTGGTTTTATGGCTTTTAAACACAGCTGGATATAGAGCCAGAAGATTAATATCTCTGGGTGTCTACTTAGTTTCAGTGATGTCAGTAGACACGTTGAAGGTTTTCAGCAAGTTGATGAATTTACTGTATTTAAGTTTTAGGTATCTCTTTTGGCTGTATTCTTGCATTGTTTACTGACATTGGTATGAAATGATCCCTCTGTTGCTGGAGAGGTTGCTGGAGACTGGACATGAACTGGAGGTTCTCTAAGCCCAACACCCTCAGTCATGGAAACTATTACTTAGTTCTCCATAATTAGCACAATGTTTTACAGCTCTAGGAGTCTCTTAAAGAGCTTTATCCTGGCATTCCTCTACATCAGAGTAGTTTTGCTTTTTTTGTCTCCGCCTGCTGGTACCTGGAAGAGAGGCATGTACGTGAAAAAAGGAGGCTAGAAATTCTTATGCTAAATGAGTATTTTACATCTTTTTAACTTAATGAAATCAGCCATTTGTAAAAACACTATGACATCATTTTATAACTCTTATGATTTTTATAAACTTGTACCACTACTTGAACGCTTTTATTTGTACAATAAAAGGTGGTGCTAAAATTATATATTTCTTTACAATCTGCAGTTTATTTTGGGGAAAATGGTGGTGTAGCTAATGTGTTTTTGGAGGAAATGGCAGTAAATCATTGAGGACTTTTGCTTTTAAAAAATAATCCAGAATGCTTTTAGTACCAGTGTGGTTTTGTATATTTTGCACATATGGAGTTGTGTGTTACGCAGTGTCATAGCGTTCAGTTTTTGCCCCTCTATGGCAAATGTTGTGTATCTGTCTTAAGTTCTCTGCTACCAAAAATCTAAAACAACTGTCCTAACTTTTTATGAATACTCAAACTGCTACTGTATTTATGTAATCTGCAAGTGAAATGCATGATATGAAAACATAGTTTCATAGGGAAAAATATCGAAAGACCAGAGATTTCAGTAGGTCAGTTTTATTAATTTTTTGTTTATTAGTTTTTAAGGACAGCATATTTTTGTTTTCTGTTTCAGAAACACTTTTTGAAGGCTCCAGAATCTGAATATGCATTTTTTTAAATCTTTGAGTTCTAATATATTAGAACTGTAAAAGAAACAGATGTTGAAATAGTGTAGATTAATAACTGTGCTGGGCAGATGACTTCAGTCTGTTCAAGCCAGAACCGTGACAATTAGTGCTGCTGATACGATGCCGCTTATTACTTAAAGTTGTTGTATGCCTGTATAAAAATACAGTGGCAGTGAAAAGTTCCCCTGTAATGATTTGCAGCTTGTCTTCCTGTGGACTGCAATGTGTCAGTTAGCCACTTGTTTGCAGGTAACTAAGTGAAAAAAAATTACCCTGTTTGGTTCCCCCCTCTTAATTCTATTTTGCAAATATATGAGTGAATTTGCAAGAGAAAAGAAATGTAAAAGTTTCCTTCTCGACTATAATCGTGGCTCTTCATCAGTCATCACTCTTCCTGCATTTTGTTCAAGAGGCTCTAATTGTCTGCATTTGGCAGGTTTAACACTTCCTGACAGAGAGGCTATTAAGGGGAAGTATTCTCGCATAACTGTCACAGGCAGGAACAAAGAACCTTCAAACTCAATGTGTGGAAACCACTAACATTCTTAAATGACCCTTTTCATGCATTTTATCCCTTTAAGCTAAAATTTGGAGGGTGCAGGGTCATGGAAAGCAGCAAGGTGTAATAAAACAGTAAACCCTGATTTTTTTTTTTTTGGGGGGGGGGCAGGGGGGCAGAGGAGAAGGTTTTTTGCTAGATTTATCTCTTAACTTAAAAACAATTGTTATTTGGAAAAATCTCATTAACAGATGTGACTGGAGTAAAAAGACTTAAAACTGATGTTGCTTTCAGGACTGCTTTGAACTTAACAAGCACCGATTTGTGGAGCAGACTAGCTAATGAAAGGAAATTAAATTTTCTGACAACTTCCCCTGCCAGCCCCCTTATTCTTCATGGGGCTGTTACTAGGTACTGAAGACTTTTAAAGAGGATTTTGTTTTATTATCGGACATAAATGAACCAGGTATGAACATTTCTCTATGTTTTTTTTAAAGTTCTGACCTGGGTGCTTTTAAAACGGATTGCCTTGAAAGCTTTAAAAATATCAGGTTTCATTTTAATGTTCATAAGTCAGCCCCCATAGTTTCAGACACACTTAGCAGCTGGTGGTTTCCAGACATTACTGCTTTCCATACAAATTTTTTAATGCATGTAACGGAATAGTATAAATATTAGCAAATTTGGATGGAATTTTCAAACTTAATCTGTGCCATTGTAATTTTAACCCTTTTTCTTTCTAGCCACTGTATAATGGAAATATCAGTACAAGAAACCAGGATTAACTACTGCAGGAGAAGAGATTTGGTTATTAGGAATTAAGAAGTTCAAGTATCTTGGTTTTTATTCTCTGGGTTTCCAGTACTCTTTTTCTCTGTACCAGGCTGTAGTAGTATAGGTCAGCTGAAGCAATAGGTGGCATCAACAAAAAGATTTTTCTAATTATCATACCCTAGTAATGTGTGGACTTTTCGATGGAAACAATTAGGTGAATCTTCTAATTTCGATACAGTTTAAAACAATGCATTTAAGGTTTATTCTGTCTTTAGAATGAAAAACTTGCAAAAGTGAAATGGTTGTGTTCTTTCTTCAGTTGATGAAAAAAAAATCCCTCTTTAAACAAGTTCTGCAAGATTTTTTGAGCCAAACAATAGAGAATCAACTCCCCCTACTGACAGCAACCAGGAAAACAGAAGAAATACCTGTGAGGACAGAAAAAAGCTGGCAGTGGGCAAACTTTAACGATCTGATTTATGGTCCATTATTGATTGTAAACTTCTAAATTCTAGCATTAAATTCCTACAACTGCAGAAAATCATTTTGTGATCCTGGTTGTGTTTCCTGTCAGCTGATTCCTCGTTGCTTTGAGTTTCTTGGTATACTAATGATGAGGTAGAATTTACATTCCACTTATGGTATTAATTTTACATTCCTCTGGCTGAAAAGGGTCAGAAGGTTGTAAAATCAAACATTAAATGAATCAGAGGAGACAGTAGTGCAATATATGACTGCCCTCAGGACATAGTGCAATGGCTGATGGGATTAACGTTGGGTCTCATTTCCTGCTTTTACAGGATGCAGATGAAGCTGTCAGAATTGCAAGGGAAATTGGTAAGTTCTTAAATTAGCTATGGTGGGATTTGTGTGCCTCTCAGCAGACATGGTTGACTAAATTGAATGTGTAATAAGTAATCCCTATAGAACAAATAATGTTTTAATAGTTTTTAAGTTCCCTGTTGCCTATAGGGCTGGAAGAATCTAGGCATTAACGCCCTGTCTCTTAAATCATCGCATTTTAGCTTTGCAAACTGGACTTTACAGAACAAGTGCAGCCATGATTTGTGGCATGCATGTAATACGCAGTAATGAGTAGCTCACTAAAGGAGTTACTTCAAAGTATGTCTGCAATTGGACTTGATAGCCAGAAGTTAGGCGTGGTACATTTCTCTTTATCTGGAGGCTCACACCGGTGATGTTATGATCTTCGTTCTTCATCACTGTGTGGACTGCAATTAGCTTGAATATCATCCAGACCACCAGCCTTTCTTCTGTGCCTTCTGGAATAAAGTCACTATTTAGCTTCTGAATATCTTACAATGATGAAAAGAGCAACCAGCAAACTGTCTAGGACTCATTTTGATGAAGGTTAAGTGTAATATGTGTTTAATGAGTTTTGGCTTTTATTTACTAAAGCTTAATATTAGGGAAAATATTTAACCATATGCTTGAAATTACGTGTTTTTAAATGCTTTTTAGGAGAAGAATCTAATGCAATAAGAGATTTTTCTTGGGGTTTTTTTTGCATTTTCATTTTAAGAGACAGTAGCCATGAGAACTATTTAGGTTCATCACAAGTACATAATTCAAAGAATGTAGATACATTTGAAGCTTCTCCTACTGATCAAGCTACAAATTCTTCTCACCCTGTGTCAAAAGCTGTGGTGCTGCATATGTGCCAGATAGAAATTGGGACTTGCAGTGCTGCAGATGACTTTTTTTTATCAGTGTAACACATTTCCACTTTGAGTTTAAGTTAGGGTTCCTACCCTGCACTGGTTAACTGCCCTGGAACCCCTCAATGTAGGCTTGGCTGGCTTTTAGGCTGATGCAACTGAAGTCAGCATTTCTGTGGGTCAGCCTCGATGTTTCTGTTGGGAAATAAAGTAATTACTGATCATTGTCAGGGGAGCAGAAACAAAAGGAAGAGTTTATCAACTAGTTTGGAATATTTGGAGGAGAACTTTAAATAAAATTGGTTTTAGTCCTTAAAAAAGTTATACATAGTACTAGACTTTATTTCAGTTCCATTTCATTTCAATAGTCTTTCTTGCTCTTGTTCTTTAAAGATTTTCTGCAAGTATTTTTAAAGTAGTTTTGATTAGTGTAAGTTGGAAGGCATTCAGTGGCTTCCTAGATACCCTTTGTATTCTTGCTTAATTTTCTTCTGAGTTCTTCTGGTGTTCTGTTGGCTGGTTCCCATCTTTGATATCAGTAGCACTTTGGAGGTCATTATATCAAGGCAGTCTTAAATCTGTAGATATTAAAGTCAATTACAGACAGCTGGGTGGTGCTTTATCTAGATGGCAAATTCTTAAACCATTTTGATACAAAAAAGTTTTGTACTATGATGCCATGTAGTGAAAGAAAAATGTCTTTTCTAGCTTTTTTCCCCACCTATGTTTTGACCAGTTGATCAGTTTGGTTAAGCTTCTGTCTAATCATGACCACTGATCAGAATAAAACCCAATGATTTGTAATTTCAAAGTATCTAAAAAAGGTGAAATTAACGTCTCTCATGTATGTAATGCATATGTCCTCATATATAAGGCACTTGATATGCAATTAGATACTTTCAGATTATTTTAAATTTCACTTATTCAGACCCTCAGTCTTCCAAGAATGCTTAAGTAATTGTTAAAAAAAAATAAATTAATTGTGGGTCAGTGCTTAAAACTCTAAAGCATTGTGTAATGTTCTCTTGCTGCCTGCGTTTTTTTCCTGCTTCTCCCTGCTATTTTTTGACCAAAGATTCAGTAGCAGTAGAGCATGGCACTTCAGGGTTGAGACACTGCCTTTACCTGTTTCAGTGACTATTTATGGATACAAATTTTGTAAGTATGGGAGTAAAACCTACCTTTTGCTCCTCATTTGAGATATGCTTTCCCAAGTTGTTAAGAGAGAATGTGACAGAGGTATTGGGCTCAGTCAGGAATTGGAAGAGGTTCAGGCACAAATAAATGTATGGGCTCTTTTCTGGAGTCTCTCCTCTCTGTTTGTCTGTGTGGGCTGTTCTTCTCTTGTGATCCTTTCTGTAGTGCTTAATCACATTGGCTCTCTTCCTATGCTACTTCTAAATCTCTCTGTAAGTCGTGCATTAAGAACCGCTGGCCTCTTGATTTCTGAAGCATTGATGAAACTCCAGAAGGTGTTACTCTTCAGGTTGTGTGGAAGAATTGAACAACTATGAAGTGCAGGCAGTTAAACTAAATGAAAGTCTATACAGAACTGAAGAAGTAAAAAACATGGTTTTGTCATGTTTCATTTGACATGGGCTTAGTTAGTAGTAGCTTTTCAATAACGGATATTGAAAAGAATCTGGTGTTGCCACATGCAATATTGGTCAAACTGATACTGCACAATGCATTCTGTGGTACTTGCAACTTTATAAAAATCGATGAATAACATCTAAAACAACAGTGGCAAAGGGTGGGAACTAACAGCTGTGGGACACCAGAAGTTCGTTTGTTCCTTTTACCATTCAGATTCTCAGAAAAATAACCACCCTGGAAACAAAGGAATCCTAACCTAATAGTACCTATTTAGCAGCAAAAGTTTGCCTGATGATCTTCAAACTTGGCAGCTTTTTAGCTTCTGCTTTCTATGATCTTTCTAGATTCATCCTTCAGATGTGTCATGAGAATGTAAAACTATGGAACAAGAGTAGCTTTTATTCTTACATGCAATTTTAATCCCATGTAATAAATTGGCATCTAGTTTGAGGGAATGGTTGAAAAGCTAACACCTACTCAAAAACGTGCCTGCTTTGTGAGACTCTTCATTGTTGTTGGCGTGTATCCTTATAAATACTATTAGAAATTGTTTGCATGCCTCTCCTTTCCCCAAACTAATGCAACCCATCCAAGCTCTTTGAAAGAGCTTTAAACTAGGTTTGAAGGGGGAAGGGGAGAAAATCAGGCTTGCTAGAGGTAAGCAAACCAATGTTTGAGGGATGCTGTGCTAGCAAGGTCTTTCAGTCTGCCATCTCAGTGGAGGCAGGGGATGGAGATCCATGTGGCAGCAAAGACACAAGGGTTATGGATGTGTTAGAAGCCATGGAAGTGCTTGAGAATGGCCATATAGGAATTAGGGCTTCTCTTCCCCAAAAAGCTGGCGGGATCAATAGCCCAACTGAAGTGCATCTACACCAGTGCATGCAGCATGGGCAATAAACAGGAGGAATTAGAAGCTATTGTGCAGCAGGAAAACTATGACACAGTTGGCATCATGTAAACATGGTGGGATGACTCGCACAACTGGAGTGCTGCAATGGAGGGCTATAAACTCTTCAGAAGGGATAGGCAAGGAAGGAGGGGTGGTGGGGTAGCCCTGTATGTTAGGGAATGTTTTGATTGTCTAGAGCTTCGTGATGGTATAAATAGGGTTGAGTGTTTATGGGTAAGAATCAGGGGAATGGCCAACAAGGCAGATATCGTGGTGGGAGTCTGTTACAGACCACCCAACCAGGATGAAGAGGCAGATGAAATATTGTATAAGTGGCTGGGAGAAGTCTCACAATCACAAGCCCTTGTTTTCATGGAGGACTTCAACTTACCAGATGTCTGCTGGAAATACAACACAGCAGAGAGGAAATAGTCTAGGAAGTTCCTGGAGTGTGTGGAAGGTAACTTTTTGATATAGCTGGTGAGTGAGCCAGCCAGGGGAGGTGCCCTGCTGGACCTGTTGTTTGTGAACAGAGAAGGACTGCTGGGTGATGGTTGGAGGCTGTCTTGGGCACAGCAATTGTGAAATGCAAGAGTTTTCAATTCTTGGAGAAGTAAGGAGGGGGGCCAGCAGAATTGCTACCTTGGACTTCCGGAGGGTAGACTTTGGTCTGTTTAGGAGTCCGGTTGACAGGGTCCCTTGGGAGGCAGTCCTGAAGGGCAAAGGAGCCCAAGAACACTGGATTCTCTTCAAGAAGGAAATCTTAAAGGCACAGGAGCAGGCCATCCCCATGTGCTAAAAGGCGAGCCAGAGGGGAAGAAGGCCGGCCTGGCTGAACAGAGAGCTTTGGCTGGAGCTCAGGAAATAAGAGAGTTTATGAACTTTGCAAGAAGGGGCAGCAACTCATGAGAACTGCAAGGATGTTGTGAGGTTGTGCAGGGAGAAAATTGGAAGTGCCAAAGCCCAACTAGAACTTAATCTGGCTACTGCTGTAAAAGATAATTAAAAATGTTTCTATAAATACATTAGCAAAAAAGGAGGGTTAAGGAGAATCTCCATCCTTTATTTGATATGGGGATAACATAGTGACAAAGGATGAGGAAAAGGCTGAGGTACTTATTGCCTTCTTTGCTGCAGTCTTTAATGGTAAGCCTAGTTGTTCTCGGGGTACCCAGCTACAAGAAAGACGTTGAGGTACTGGAGTGTGTCCAGAGAAGGGCAACGAAGCTGGTGAGGGGTCTAGAGCACAAGTCTTATGAGGAGCGGCTGAGGGAACTGGGGTTATTTAGTCTGGAGAAGAGGAGGCTGAGGGGAGACCTGATCACCCTCTACAACTGCCTAAAAGGAGGTTTTAGTGAGGTGGGTGTTGGTCTCTTCTCCCAGGTAACGGGCGATAGGATGAGGGGAAATGGCCTCCAGTTGCATCAGGGGAGGTTTAGGTTGGACATTAGGGAAAATTTCATCACCGAAAGGGTTGTCAAGCACTAGAACGGGCTGCCCAGGAAAGTGGTCGAGTCCCCATCCCTGGAGGTATTTAAAAGACGGGTAAATGTAGTACCTGGGGACATGGTTCAGTGGTGGAATGGCAGGGTTAGGTTAACAGTTGGAATTGAGGATCTTAAAGGTCTTTTCCAACCTAAGCGATTCTATGTGAGCATACTTCAGCAGTTTTGATTGCTGCTGAGTAGTGCAGAAGTGTTTAAGAGAATGATGATAATTAACACATCCTGATCCCAGCATCCTGTACGCAATATGCATGCAAAACTTAGATTGTACAAAGCCTTCCTTGTCTTAGCACACATCAGTCTTTGGTATTGGCCAAAGAACTGCTGTTTAGCTTAGTTCAGTGCCCCAGAGAGCAAGTAGTGTGTAAAGGCATATTTGAGCAAAAGTTCAAGTCCCCTTATTTTCAGAGGACTGGCTAATTGTCATCCTAACTTGTAGAGGTTAGTTACAAAGAATTTTTCCTTCTCAACGTAAAAAGCTGTATGTATCTCTTCAAAACAAGCCATACTTTTTCTTAATTTTTATTTTTAACTATATTGTGGCTTTCTGGAATCTTTAACTGCCTTGCATACAAGGGTGGTCAATATGCAATCAGTATACATAAAAGGTATGTGTGTGGAGAAGCAAAGTGTTTCTAGGCTTGGTGAGTGATACCAGTAACCAATGTATCCTGTCTGATAATTCAATCATGTGAGTTGTGATATAGGAACTTTTATATTCTTTAGCATATAAAGAGTCACCAAGGCTCACTGCCAGCATGCCTGTTTTGCTGTTGAAACGAAAGAACAGTAAATTAGGATTAGACTCTATTTACAGAATTAAAATCAGCAAGCCATTCAGAAGACTGATACTGTTGGACTGGAATTGTTAGCATAATTGATGATGATTTTTTCAAGTACATGCAACACTGAATAAGATAGATTAGGTGATGGAAATTGCTATAGTGAGTTTGCCATAATAAGACTTCCAACAATGCTGATTTCAGAATTTCAGACTTGCAGCCTCTTGAGTTGGAGAGAGTCTCCAGCTGGTGATAGTGTTGCCAGAGGTGTAAGTTAGCTAATGTTACCTGGTTAAATCTCATTTCTGGCATGAAAATCACACAAGATATGCTTTTTGCTTTATTTCAAGGTAGCCAGTGATGTGTCTAGGAGCCTGGCAGTTGCCAGGGATCTGTAAAACCAGCTACAGCATAGATTAATTGTCCTTATGTAGATATTGCGTATACTGCCTTTCATGAAAATGAGTTGGACTTCGCTGTTTGCTGCATGCAATCTAGAGTTTTTGCACATACCCTTTTATTTCTGGGATTGTAGAAGCCTTGAAAATACTCAGTACAGTTCTGGATTGAATCCATTATTACTCTGACTTATCCTGTACCCCTCTGTGGGCAGCAGCAGATATTTCACAGGAAAACATAAGAGACACTCAAGCTTATTTGCATGGCTTGATCTTACACTTATACCTAGAAACTAGAGATTACTTTAGACTCTAAAGCATGAAGATTTGTAGCCTTTGGGTCATCCCTGCTTATAGGAACTTGTTTTGTGCTTTGCAGATGCTTTTATCTGTTGCCTCTCTGCAGCTTTCAGCCACGTGAATGCTCTGTAGCATGGGGTTCCACGGTCTAATAACGTGTTATGTTGGAAACTATTTCATTGATCTTTGTTGTTTCTTTGGTAATTTAACGTTCTCTTGTACTGTTGCTGCTTTCCTGCCTTCCAATCAATGCAACTCTGTTTCTTATGCTTGTATCATGTCCCTTTTTTGTGTGTCCACTTCAGTCTTTTTAAGCAAAAGGTTTTCCAGATCTTGGCTGTTTTTGATTATCTTCTCCTGAACCTCATTTCAGTCAAATGACTTTGGGGAGAAGGTAGGCATACTGTATCACTGTCACCTGACAGAGCAGGAGTAGATCTACATTCCAGAAAGAAACTGTAAACATTAGTTACACATATGATACTGACTTGACCATTTCTGTTTGGAGTCATATTCAAATGTCCCTTTCCGTCCCTAGATCAAAGCCTTTTACAGGATTTATCTTCAGTTTGCAAGGACTGATGGACTCTTCTTGCCGGACAATATCTGCTGGTCTGATAATAGGGTTTAATGTTATAATTTTTCATTAAACATACTGGAGACCAAAGGCTTGAAGATTTTTCTGCTATCCTAGAAATGTCAAAAACTTTCTAATTAGATCCTTAGTTTTCAAATTTCTGTACATTCATGTAGGAGAAAGGTGAAGTTCACAAATATGAATAAGAAATTGTTTTAGGAAATTGCTTTGAATTGAAATATTGTACTACAAGATAAACAGTCATTACTAAATCTGCTTTTAAACTGCATACTTTGTTACTGTACTTTTCTAGCTTTCAGAAAACTAAGGTCCTGACTCATACCCATACTAAGGTATCTTGTTCTGAGAGCAAGATATTACCAGTAATGCACAATGCTGTTAGATTTATGCTGCTTGTTTTTTCTTACTACTTGTCAGTTTTGGGAAAATCCTTTTTTATGGTTAAAAAATCCAGATTATTATATAATATCTGAGCAGCACAGCTCTTTTGAGGTATTCTGTTATTTAAATTATACGGCACCAGAAGTGTTGATAAGATACGTTTGATTACCGAATCTCTTGACTAATAATTTATTAAGATCTCCTGCTTATTTTTGCTAGTAATTTCAAAAAAAAAAAAGTTATTACAGCTGTAGCTTATTTCAGCAGTAACAAAGGAACAAAATTTTGTTCCTAAAGAAATGTGAGCTTAAAAAGGTCAAATGCCTTTATTCATAAATCACTTTGTTACTTGGGAATAATTCATTCAGTGCTTTTTTTTGGTATAAATGAAATGGAGAAGACAACCTTTCTTGGCTTCAGAAATCACTGCACTGACAGCTAAATTTTGAAAAGAAAAATCTCTCCTCTCCTCTCCCTCCAAACAAAGTGTTTTAATAAACGAAGTTATTGTCTACTGGCATTATTGGACATGTGGTCAGTTGTCATGTTCCTCTGACCAACTGAACAAAGTTTGAACTTCTGTCTAATTGTTCCCCGCTGTTAGGCTACCCTGTCATGATCAAGGCCTCAGCAGGTGGTGGTGGGAAAGGCATGAGAATCGCTTGGGATGATGAAGAGACCAGGTGAGATGCTGTCCAAAAGCTTGCCTTGATGAATGCTGCAGTTACCAAAGTCGCATTAAACCACTGTGAGCTGACAGTTGAGCAGATATGAAATGTTAAACAGAGAAATTGGATATTATTTGGTTTTCTCCCTTTCATATAGTGAGTGGTGTGCTTTAGGAGTTTGCATGTGTCTATTTAATTTTTGCATAAACCTTACAAAACATGGTCCATTAATCTGAGTAAAAGCCCAACACTTAGAATTGTCTTTAGTCCAATGATAGACTGTAAATGTAGACTGTAAATAACATTTTGCTGTATGCCTTTCAGAATGCTGATGTATTAATTGTGTGTTAGGTAGAATACTTATTGGCCCTGATTCTCAAACATTGATGCATGCCATTAGTTCTATTAAAGTTGATGAGACTAATTATTCATGTGTGGAAACACATACAATGTTTTCAGAATGTGCTCTAATAAATTGCATACTTCTGTGTTTAAAATACTTGTCTTAGCAAACTATTGTGCTTTTGCCTGTTTGAGACAATGTTTGTTTAAACACAGATGTTTTCATGTCACTTAATGGTCGTCTGAATCCTGAACACTTCAAGATGCTTTGTTACTGACTGGGGAAGTTTTACAATCCATTCTCTGCTGATATTCTGGCAGTGAGGAGCCTGGTTTCAACCCCATGTGCCACTGTTGTTAAAGAAAAATGTGTTTTAGGGTTTTTCAAAGACTTGTAACAAAAAGCCTATTTGATCCAAAATTAGACAACCTTCTAAATGTTTTCCTTTCCACATGGAGAGTGGCACATATGCCGGAATCAACTCAAAGTACAACTCACATTTTTGTTAGTTTAATTTAGTCACCTGCAAGATTTCTCTGTCATATTTTTGTGTTCCCTATTAAATTTTTGTTTGACAAAACCTAAAAGTGGAAAAAAGAACAATGAATGGCTAGCAGTTAAACTTTAGATTTAAAGAAAACATGGGGCTTTTTTTTTGTACCTTGCTAGCCCATTTATATTCAAATCTAAATAGGAAAATGAGGTTTTGTGCATTAGAACGAAGATCTAGAATAACCTGCTTTCTCACAAGGATGCTTTGTTCCCACTGCTTTAGAATCCAAAATTACTGCCTTGATCTTGTTCAGGCAGCAATTGCATCTGTTGGACTTGAAAGGAAGGCATTCATTTCTTGTTCTGCTCAGAAAGGAGCAAAGGAGCTCGATTTAAAGTAACTGTTTAAAAATGGAAAACTGGATTTAAAATCATGGTTGCTAATTTGTTTTGGAGAAAAGTGTAGTTATTGTTCAGAAAGTCGCCTGATAGAGCTGATTGGTATCAACAGAAGCCAGCTAGGGATATTCTTTTTTGTACATTTGCATACAAAATTAATTTAGTGGTACTACTTTGACCCAGTGATATTTAGCGATGTTAGTTTGAGATGCTTGCCTTATTTGTGGAAGGCCTTTGAAATACAATTCAGCTGCTTATTATGGGCCAGTGGTGCCTTATAATAATCCTTTTGGTTAGTTATGCTAAGCCTTGTCTTTACAGTGTAATTTTATAGAGTAATATATAAAAAATGCTGTGAGAAAGCGCCTAGATTGAGTAACAGATCAACACTGGTTACTGATCCCATATCAAGCAGAAATGCTTGTTTTAACACTTACAGATAGGCAGCAATGAAGGCAAAATTAAATTGGCAAAATACTTGTTGCAGAAAGATAAATGAGATTAAGAGAACTGAAGATAGAAACAGATTTACTCTGCATTTGCATATGTAGTAGAGCCATTTAGGTTTCTCTTATAGTCTGTCTTGAAGAAATATCTATGAGGTTGTAAAAGATATGTTGTACGTGTCCATTGTGTTACAGAACTGAGGTTGTTCCTTTTTATGTGTCTGAAGAAGAACATCTGATTGAATGTTTTGAAGGTGTTTCAACTTGTTATTGACAAAAGAACGTATCTGATAGTTTTAGTATCGCATGAAAAGTTGTTGACCTCATGTATTGTCTTGCTGCATCCAAATCAATGTTATCCTAAAAATAAACTAATTTTCAGCTTTTGGTAGACTCTGAGAACCCAGTATCTGAATGGCCTTTTGCATTTCAGGGTTCATAGATGCAGTACAAGTGTGAAGAACTGTTAATAGTATTTTGATTTGTAAACTTGCTTTGGCTTTGTAATGTGGGATTAATTCCAAATGCTATTCGAAAAAAAGCCTTATTGAAACTAATTTTGTTTGAAACATACTTTTGGATTTTCAGGATGGTTGAAAATTTTTCTTATCTCAACTGGCTATGCATAATATTAAAAGAAGGCTTAAATGTATTGTGAGGTTTGACATGGAAATAGCCACTGGAAATGGAAAATACCCATCTGAAAGACTTAATTGCTGCTATTACAAAATTAGTCTCTGTGGTAACTTACTGGTGCTTCATCCTTCACATCTTTCAAATATGCCAAATGATGAAAATTTTGTTAGATTGACTAAAAATTATGATAGTAATCCAGCTATAGCTAAGATTTCTGTAACTTTCAGGTAGTATTTCTAACTAGAAATACTAGAATAGTTTTACCACTGTCAGAATTATTTTTTTTTCCTTGCATCCTGCTTTCAGCTGGGATAGGGTTAATTTTCTTTCTAGTAGCTGGCATAGTGCTGTGGTTTGGATTTAGGATGAGGATAATGTTGATAGCACACTGGTGTTTTAGTTGTTGCTAAGTGGTGTTTATACTAGTCAAGGACTTTTCAGCTTCCCATGCCCTGCCAGCGAGAAGCTGGGAGGGGGCACAGCCAGGACAGCTGACCCCAGCTGGCCAAAGGGATATTCCATACCATATGATGTCATGCTCAGCATATAAACTGGGGGAAGTTGGCCAGGGGCTGGCGGTCACTGCTCAGGGACTGCCTGGGCATCAGTCAGTGAGTGGTGAGTTGTGCATCACTTACTTTCTATATTGTTTTATTGTTGTTTTGTTATTCCCTTTATTCCTTTTTTTTTTTTTCCCCCTTCCTTTTCTGTCCTGTTAAACTGTCTTTATCTGAACCTACAAATTTTCTTTTTTTTTTTTTTTCTGTTCTTTCCCCCATCCCACTGTGGGACGGTGGGCGTGAGCAGATGGCTGTGTGGTGTTTAGCTGCCTGCCGGGTTAAACCACAGCACCTTGAAAGAGCTCTTGATGCGTGTGTGACTGTGGACGGCTGCGATGTTGACCCCTGCCTCTTTATCTGGTTAGGGCTGCTGTTGTATTTCTTCAGATATGAATCCCTTCTAACTCTCACTTCTATTGCTTTTTTCCAAATTCCAGTCAAATTCTAGTTTGGAATTTAGAGTTCAGTTCAAGCCACTAAGCCACATCTGAAATTAAAATAACCCTATCTTCACTCTAATGTAACCCCTAGTCAGTTGTCTTGGTTTGGGTAAGTTGAACTTAGGATGCCCTTTCTTCACATAATAGATACCCACTTAAAATAATACTGGAAATGAAGTGCAGATTTCTGAAGAGCAGTCTACATTGAATTCAGGTTTGTAGGTTCTTCACAGCCTGAGAAGGTTCTGCTGCTCTATGAATCTAAAAGTACTTCTTTCTTAGTGTAGCTGAGCATCCCAGCTGTGGTCTTGCATGTGAAAAGCCTCTGTGCTTGTGTCCAAGAGAACCTGATCTTAAAGTGCTTTCTAAATATAGGTAACATGAAGTTCATTGTGAAATACAACAAAACATGACTAGGGTAGGTGTCTGAATACCTAGAAATTTTCTGTATCGTTCCTTCTTCGATTGTTGAGAAACTGAAGGCTCTCTTGCTTTCAGTCTGCTTGTAACAGTTGTAGCTGTAACTAAGTCTTTAGGCTTCATGGCTTCAAGTGGTCTGCTGGCAGCTCTGAAAAGGAATTCACTTGAGAACCCTGTCTTCTCCAAAGAAGAGATTTAAATTTTCTAGCAGAGATGGAGATGGATCTTTGCACACAAAGATAATTACTGGCTTGTAGGCTCACTATCAGAGGTCATCATACAGGAACTACTGGTCCCTGTTTTAAACTCCATGGATTTGCAGATAGAAATTAGTTTTTCTAGTTAGTAGTTTCAGCTGCAAACATGATAACCTCTAAGTTGGAAACCTGTACTGAATTTCCTTCTGACATTTTCGTCTTGAGAACTTGGGAGCTTTGTGCTAGTTCTACTCCCTGCCCCTTCCACCCTCCCAATTGTATCAACTTCTGTAACTTTTCCTAGATACTGAAATCTTGTGTGCTTAGTGGGTATCTATTTTGAAAGCTTTCACCAAGGCAGCTTCCAGCAACAGATATTTAGAGAGATGAAGGATTTTGCCTTTTAACTTACAATAACAGGAAAAGATAAATTGTCCTGTTACTTAAATTTGTTCTTGGTTCTTACACCAATTTCATGAACTTCAGTCAAACATCTGCTCTCAAATTCCAAGAAGCCCTTATAGTTTCTCTTCTGTGGTCCTGTGGTACCATGCTGTGTTTACTTCCACTGTTCCACAATTGTTGCTCTTCATTGGGATGGTACAACAGGATACGTGGGAGAACTACTAGCAAATTTGTTTTCGTAGTCTGCAATAAATTTCTGCAGCTTCCCACCTTCCTTCAGAAACATCTGTTGAATTTTTTTTCCTGATGTTGTTATGTTCCAATAGCTCTGAAGGAATGAGTACTGGAACTGGAAGAAGATAAAGTGTAAATATGTAACAAATAGTTCTGAGGCAAAGGAAATCTGAAGTGTGCAGTATGAGAGGACAATGCTTTAAAAAAATGAACAGCATTCTCTATCACAAGCCTGTACATTGAGTCTTACTACCTTCCCAAAGCACTGCATTTCACCTGGCAGAATGCTCTGCCCTGCAAAAATTGGGGTGTTAGGGGTTTGGCATCATTGGTCTGTCCTGCACAGGTATGTGCTGTAGAAGTGTTCAGGTAAGGGAAGTCAGTTGGATGAATGAAGAACAGTGTTCCCTAAAAACTGGTTTTTTTTTAAACATAGGTTTCTG